GGGGGGGTCACAGATGAGAAGAACTATAGTAAAAATAAACACCCTGCAGGATGGGTAAGAGAGGGGTGTTGGGGGGAGCAGATTGTGGGGCTTTAACACTCACAGTGTCGGTAGTTTGTTTTTATACCCTGCAGACACAGACGTACACGCATGCGCATATACACAGATCTACCCTGCATACACAGATCTACCCTGCATACACAGATCTACCCTGCATACACAGATGTACCCTGCATACACAGATGTACCCTGCATACACAGATCTACCCTGCATACACAGATCTACCCTGCATACACAGATCTACCCTGCATACACAGATCTACCCTGCATACACAGATACATATTTTCTGTATACACAGATATACATGCATGCACATATACTCTGTATACACATACATGCACACACCTCCTGGTATCATATCTGATCACCACTGCGGCCATGTAAATCAGTGTCCGGTTCTATGTGTATGTGACACAGGCCCCCTCCCCCCACAGGGCCGGCCCCGGGCCGCTATCACCGACCATCTACCCTCATATAACACAATATAGAAGGGAGATGCGCCACACACTGCGGCTCCTGGCCACACACAGTACCGCCCCTCCCCGGCCTTCTTCTCTCACCTCAACCTCCTCCGATTTTCCCCCGGCTGTCTCAGTCCGGCCTGTACTGAATTTCCCCCCCCCCAGCCGCTCTACAACAATACCCGCCGCCGTCCCGTCCCTCCAGCAGCGGCCATCTTACCCCGCTGTTCCAGCGGCTCCTAGCAGTCACAAAGCATGCTGGGCCTTGTAGTTCCGTGCCGCACTCCTGCGCTGCGTATTCCGGGAAGCCTCGGCCGCTTCGCGTACTACAGCTCCCACAAAGCTCCGCGGCCCTGCGTCCACTACCGGCACACGTACGGACGAGGGGCGTGACGGGAAATGTAGTTTTGGCAGGCGAAGGGCGAGCAACGGGCTGCGGCCGGGTGGAGGGTCGGACGTACTCCGGCTCCCAGAATGCACCGCGGCGGGGCGGATATGAGTCATGGCAAATCGCTTATGGCCCATTGGGGGTTTATAACGTCCATGGTACAGGAGACATATAATGGTGAATTTACTACAACTGTAGCAAAGCAGAATCTGTTGCAGTTGCCCATAGCAACCAATCAGCTTCTAGCTTTAAATTTAAAAAGTTAACTGATCGAGCTGAAGCGGATTGGTTGCTATGGGCAACTGCTCCAGATTCTGTCTGATCCAGATTTGATAAATTCCCCCAATAGGTTTCTTTTGCTGTGAAATGCCAAGCTTTAGGGCTTAGTCACACTGCAGCGATCCCCTCACACCTGAGCGTTTTGTTGTGCATTTCCCAAAGCACAGTAACACTCACTATAAAGAATCCCATTATTTTCAATAGCGTCCATTCTATTTTTTTCTTTGCGTCATTGCAGAGACCTGCATTGATCTGGTACACAAAAACACAGCTCACAAAGCATGGTGTGAACGAGCTGTGATGGAAGGCCATGTGCAGGACTTGGCGCAATAAACTCATCCACAGGACTTACTGTAGTGAGATACCAGAGAGATGATATCTCAGCATTGCTTGTAGGGATCCTCTCTGAAGGCATGGCTGATCCCCCCATTGCTGAAGATCCTTGTCACCAAAGCTCTTGTGCTCATCCTCTGGCTTCAGTCCTTTTTTGAGTCAATGACAGAATAAATATCACTTGTGAGCAGTTAAAGTATCTCTGTGAAGTCAAAGTATAAGCGCTATATTGCCAAAAGTACCCCCCTCCCAAATCATTGGATTCAGGTGTACCGTGAAATTCCTTGCTACTAAATATTCCACGGTCACCTGTTAGTGTTATAACAAAGTGGAAGCAACTTGGAACAACAGCAACTCGGCCCCAAAGTGGTAGGCCACATAAAATGACAGAGCGGGGTCAGCGCATGCTGAAGTGCACAGTGCGCAGAAGTCGCCAACTGTCTGCAGAGTCAATAGCTACAGAACTCCAAACTTCATGTGGCCTTCAGATTGGCACAACAACAGTGTGTAGAGAGCTTCATGGAATGGGTTTCCATGGCCGAGCAGCTGCATCCAAGCCTTACATCACCAAGTACAATGCAAAGCGTTGGATGCAGTGGTGTAAAGCACGCCGCCACTGGACTCTAGAGAAGTGGAAACGTGTTCTCTGGAGTGACGAATCACGCTTCTCTGTCTGGCAATCCGATGGATGTGTCTGGGTTTGGCGGTTGCAAGGAGAACGGTACTTGCCTGACGGCATTGTACCAAGTGTAAAGTTTGGTGGAGGGTGGATTATGGTGTGGGGTTGTTTTTCAGGGGTTGGGCTTGGCCCCTTAGTTCCAGTGAAGGGAACTCTTAAGGCATCAGCATACTAAGACAATTTGGACACTTTCATGCTCCCAACTTTACGGGCACAGTTTTAGGATGGCCCCTTCCTGTCCCAACATGACTGCGCACCAGTGCACAAAGCAAGGTCCATAAAAGACATGGATGAGCGAGTTTGGGGTGGAGGAACTTGACTGGCCTGCACAGACTCAATAGAACACCTTTGGGATGAATTAGAGCGGAGACTGCGAGCCCGGCCTTCTCGTCCAACATCAGTAGCTGACCTCACAAATGCGCTTCTGGAAGAATGGTCAAACATTCTCATAGATACACTCCTAAACCTTGTGGGCGCCTTCCCAGAAGAGTTGAAGCTGTTATAGTGTCAAAGTGTGGTCCAACTCAATATTGAACCCTACGGACCAAGACTGGAATGCCATTAGAGTTCATGCGCGTGTAAAGGCAGGTGTACTTTTGGCAATATAGTGTATATTCAGGGAAGCCTATCCCTCCTCTAACTAACCACTGAACCATCACATTCTCAAAATGTCCATCCCCACACAGCTACTTCCTCATGTATCACATGCCCCTCCCTTTTAGATTGTAAGCCCTCAGGGGCAGGGCCCTCCGTACCATCTTGTCTTGAATTGTATTGTGATTGTAATGTCTTCCTTATATTATAAACCACCGCCCACTCTGTTGGCGCTATATAAATCCTGTATAATAATATTAGATCCACCATTGCAGCCTGTAGACCTTCTTTTAAAGTCCAATTAAAACGAAAGCTTTTTATGCACAGGGTTATTCACAAAAGAGTGAAGAGTTTGGAGAAGGCCAGAGAAGTGAACAATCTAGGACACCATAGCTGAACTGGAAAGGGCGCTGAATTAGAGAATTTTTCCAGTTCAGCTATGTTGTCCTAGATTGTTCACTTCTCCTGCCTTCTCCAAACTCTTCACCCTTTTGAGAATAACCGCCTTAGATTTGGATAGAGTGGAGAGGCATTAGAACACCTGTCAGGTCGTTATTGCTGTCTGGGTCCCCATTAGGAAGTTTCACCTTTGTAATTGTCCTGGTGACCGTTATCAATGAAAGGAAATCCCAAATCTTGGGTTGTAAACAGAACAGGAATATATGGGAAATCTTTCAGTGGGGACAGTTCTGGTGACAAATAGGGATTTCCCTCACTTTCGAAGGATTTCCTCTCACTGCCTGTTGTGGCTATGTGACAGATAGTTAAGGGAAATCTCCCCAATGGGACACAGATTAGGCCTGGCTTCAGGTCTACTTTAACATGCCTTCTATCTAAATAATTGATTTTGAATAATACGCAGGGCATATTTGGCATTCAGCATTCCACTCAACCAACCCTCACACAGAACTGGCTACTGGCTATGTTCACAATGCAAAATACACGACTTAACCCACCTTCTCTGGTCATGCCCCCAAATTAAACATTTTTGGAGAGTCTCTCTAACAGGTAAATAAATACCAAAACGAGCGCCAGGCAATGGTCCCAAGGTTTTTTGGACTTTTGAGAAGATTGCCTGGATCTATTTTTGGTCTTCAATCCAAGCCAAATGGCTACTTTCCCAACCACCCACCATAATGGACCTTAAGTTGGACGCTGACAGCCATAGGCCCTTCAACACAAGTAAATTCTTGGTCTGATTTTTTTACCCAGGAACTTACCAGGGAGCAATTTAGAAAGACCATATTGCTTTTACAGAGCACTCCTCGGCACCATACCAGGAAACTCCAGGGAATATTGGGTATGCTTAATGTCTTGTTGAAAACCTCTAATCTCAAATTACTAAGAAGTTCTGGGGCTTTTCCGTCTCGACTATCACAAGGTATTTGGCTGCGTTATTATTATTATACAGGATTTATATAGCGCCAACAGTTTGTGCAGCGCTTTACAATATGAGGAAGACATTACAAGCACAATACAATTCAAGACATGATGGTAAGGAGGGCCCTGCCCCTGAGGGCTTACAATCTAAAAGGGAGGGGCAAGTGATACATGTGGAGGTAGCTGTGTGGAGATGATTTGTTTGAGAAATGGATAGTTCAGTGGTTAGGTTGAGGTAGGATAGGCTGCCCTGAAGAGGTGAGTCTTAAGAGATCGCCTAAAGGTAGTCAGAGTGGGAGATAGTCGGACAGGTTGGGGTAAAGAGTTCCAGAGGATGGGAGAGACTCTAGTGAAGTCCTGGAGGCGAGTATGGGAGGAGTTGATGAGGGAGCTGGAAAGCAGGAGGTCTTTTGAAGAGCGTAGGGGACGGTTAGGGTGATACTTTGAGACAAGGTTTGAGATATAGCCGGGGGCAGAGTTGTGGATGGCTTTGTAAGTGATTGTTAATATTTTGAATTTTATTCTTTGGCCGAGTGGAAGCTAGTGCAGGGATCAACAAAGGGGGGTTGCAGACACTGAGCGGTTGGTCAGGTGGATGAGTCTAGCAGCTGCATTCATGATAGACTGAAGGGGGGACAGCCTGTGTAGAGGTAGGCCAATGAGGAGGGAGTTACAATAGACAAGATGAAAGATAACAAGTGAGTGGATGAGTAATTTTGCGCTTTCCTTGGTGAGGAATGGGCATATTTTGGAGATGTTACAAAGTTGAAGGTGGCAGGATTTGGATAGTGATTGGATGTGAGGAAGAAAGGTGAGGTCCGAGTAAAGGATGACACCTAGGACCTTGGCATGGGGGGATGGATGGACAGTTCTGTTAGCAATCTCAAGGGAAAAGTTTGGGGAAGGTGCATGGGCGGGAGGAAATATCATGAGCACAGTTTTTGAAAGGTTGAGTTTTAAGAAGTGTTGTGACATCCAGACTGATAGGTCAGTTAGTAGATTAGTGACACACAAGGACACTGGGGGGGGATAGAAAGATATATTTCAGTGTCATCGGCATAGAGATGGTATTGGAAGCCATATGAGGTTATTAACTGACCAAGGGGAGGAGATGTAGATAGAGAGGAGAAGGGGTCCAAGGACAGAGCCTTGTGGGACCCGTACAGAAAGAGGAAGAGGAGGGGAGGAGTTAGAGAACCATGAGAAGCCAAGACCCCCATGCCCCAGGTCTGATTTCACAATTATACTCTTCTCTACTAACCGGTACAGGCCCGCCCCACCACATGTATATGGACCGCTGGCAGGCAGATCTCAACTTCACGGTAGACGAAGACACCTGGTCTCAAATATGGGAAAGTACCAAGTCATGTTCCAAAAATGCTTTGACCCTTGAGGCCAACTATAAAAGGTACTTCTCCGTTGGTATATAGTTCCTACACAGGCGGTACACTTTGTGCCGGATTGTGATGGCCTCTGTACTAGAGGATGTGGCGAAAGAGGTACATATATTCACACGTGGTGGTCGTGCCCGGTTGTGGCCGCACTATGGCGCAAGATCTTCCAGATTGTTTCTGTACTCATGGGTAAGCAGATCTCATCAACCCCACAGGAAGCTCTCCTTAATGTCAAACCGTCGGGTCTCACTAACCCACAATTTAAACTAATGTTACATGTACTGTCGGCAGCTAAACGCACAATAGCCAGAGCGTGGATGTCAAAATCCTTAAGCTTATCAGAAGTTAAGAACAAAGTACATTGGACGTTCCCCTCCGCTCTTTCCTCTACCCACTGTTTCTTCCTCTTTGCTCAGTTTTCCTAGACCCACCTTAAGATCCTCTGGATCTTTTTGTTTAACTTAGTTCTTTGGACAGACACCTAAAGATGTTATATGTATATTTTGCCATATCTACTGATCGGTTCCCACGGGGGCTGTCCCAAGACTGTCAGTTCAGTTTTGTTAACAACAAACTCAACAAAATGTATTTGTTACAGTATCACAAAATAGTTTGACATGAGATCATATGGCTGATGGGTTTGAGGTGAAGGTGTGGATAGTAGCTTGATGCCTACAGATGTATCTTTTTATCCCATTTTAAACATGTATATTGATTGTTTGAACAATTTTACCAGTTTACAAGTTGTAGGATAATTTTTTGTACCTTAAAAAATCCCACATAGGTTTTTCTTTCCCTGTTGCCTTGTATATTAAGGATGCGGTGCACCCTAAAAGGGACAGACTCCTTGGAATCCGTATCTAAAAATTTTGTGACCACATGCTGAAAGCTGCAAAGGAAGCTGATGCTGGAATGTGAAAAGCTGTGTCACAATGAACAATATCCGTAAGGAACACCCACCTTTCACCATGCCCACCAAAGGTTGCAGTACCTTGGTACACTTAGAATGGTACAGTTTTTTTTAGCACACAAAAATCTGTGTCTTACTTGAGAGGGCTAGTTGGCTTGGCCTCCCATGCCAAAGTTTTCCAGTCCTGCCCTGCCAGCAGCATACACCTACCTTTACTTCTCTCCCTTGTCATTCTGTTAAGTGCCAGGAGCTGAAGAAAATACCCAGTGCTTCTAGGTATAAGGAGGGGCATGTGCCTCATCACATTAGACCAGCATTTGTCAATCTTTTTTTCAGTCACAGCACTCTTTAAATGTATGCAAAATCTAGAAGCACTCTAGTCTAAATGTAAAACATAAAAAGGATTCCCAACTTCACATCAGGTTCCCCCTTTTCAAATCAGAAGCTCCATATACATCAGGAGCCCCCTTCACGTCATATGAGGAGCCCTTCTTCACATCAGACTCCCACCTTAACATCAGGATCTCCCTTCACGTCAGGATCTCCCCTTTTCAAATCAAAAACCCCATATACATCAGGAACCCCCTTCACATCACATCAGAAACCCCCCTTCACATCAGGATCTCCCCTTTTCAAAATCAGAAGCCCCATTCACATTGGGAGCCCCCTTCACATGACGTCAGGGGTCCCTCTTCACATCAGAAGCTCAGCTTCATATCAGGAGCTGCCCTTCACATAAGAAACCCCCCTTCACAGAAGGATCCCGCTTCACATCAGAGTCTTTCCCTTTCACATCCGGAGTCCCCTTCATATTATAGTCCTTCACATCAGAAGCCCCACCTTCACATGAGAAATTCCCTTTACACCCGACTCCCCACCTTTACATCAGGGTGCCCCTTCAAATAAGGAGCCCACTTCAGGTCAGGTTTCCGCCTTCTCATCAGAGTCCTAATCATTACCACAGCATGGCTGAGACGGCATGGCAGAGGGTGGGAGGTGGAGCAGGTCTGGATGGATGGACTTCCATCCTCTTCTGAATGCTGGGGTGATCCTGGATGCTGAACACCCTTGATTAGCATCATGTTTTTCCATGGTGATTGTGGCCGGCCCACCTGCTTCATCAAAAGGCATGATGTAGTATGCAAAGTTTGCAGTATGCAAACTTGACATGGCCCTAGATGAAACAAGATGGCACCCAGGTTGAGAAAGACTACATTTAACAGCACTGGGTCATTCAGGGAATCCATAGCCTAGTCTAAGCTATGACTTTGGCAACTTGTAGCTTACACAAGACTTTTCTTGGCTCCCGGAGCTGTAGGAGGTTTACATGAAGGTAAGTATATGTGTCTGTGAAGGGAAAAATTGCCATGCGCAGGTGCACCTACTAAAGCTCTGCTGCCTGTTGAGTTTAAGGAAACCTATAACCAGCAGCTGTGAGGTGCCTCAGTTATGCTGAACACAGCCTGATGCTGCTTGGATATGCTGGCCCTTTACAGGTACCTCTCTTGTATCCTGGTTGTAATTTCAATTTGTGACTGTTGAAGACATTATGTTTTCTGCCCAGAGATTTCAATGGCTCCTAACAGCGTCTCTCCTGCATTTTGTTGCAGTTCCCATTTTACTCCTGGTGAATTCTCATATTGCTTCTTGATCTCTGGCTCCTGTTGATGACTCTGCCCATCTTCTGGTTTCTGTATCCTGTCACCCTGTAGTCTGTCTGTCAGGTTTAGGCACAACCAAGGGCCCAATTCTCAGTGCTTCTCCTCAGCTAATTCCAACTTATCTTGTGCCAAGCATGAACACAAGGGATTTCTTAAACTATTCACCATTTTCTGAGCCAAAGTTTAAAACTGGTGCAACAAAGGAGCAATGTCTACCCAGGACTCAGTGCTAGAACATGCTGCATTGCTTGGAACTATTGGGCATGTATGAGTCAGTGGCTGAACCATATGGGGGTGCACTAGAAGGCAAGAGAAACATGCGTTTGTTATTTGGACCTAGAGACTTTCTGTCATGATGAATTGCAGAGAAATAGTCGATTGCTGACCACTTCACAATCAATCCTGTGTAAGGAACTGGTCTCAATTTAGAGGCAAAATCGCAGTCTCTTCAGCAAAATTGCCAGCTTCAATCGCCAAAAAGGTTACAGGTATCCAGCCAAAAAATGTAATTGACATAAACAAATAAAAGTCCGATCCACTGCGCCTTACTGGGTATTAGCGATAGTCCTCTGAGCTGGGTCCGTTTCCTCTATGGGAACAGTTTCAGTCCATCCACAGAACCCTGTCCTGCTGACAGCCTTGGCTCCAAACACAGAACTTGCTGCATTCAGCACACTGTCTCTCCTTGCACTGAGACACACACTTCCCCCAGCTAGGTGCAGCTGCACACTAATGAAGTCCTGTGCAGTCTTCACTAAACTACAGTCCATGGAACTAGGAGTCTGTTCCACCCAGAGCTCCTAGTAATCAGTATCAGACTCCTAGTGACACCAGCCCCAGGATTTGTTTTACCAATACAAGGTAAAGGGCTATTTTTCTTTACCTCCAAATCTCTGCTGGCATTACCTTAGACGATGAATCTAAGAATCCGTGGAGGAATGTATCTACCATCTATCACTTTTCCTGCCAACCTGGCAGGTTTTACTGGCACCCTGTTACACCTGTCATTGCATGTATGCCAAGTCACTTTGTTTGCTAAGTCAATGAGAACATTGTGACAGTCCCCATGAAAGACATTGACCATGTGCTCAGTTGACTTACACATAAAGTGGACGTTCACCTTAGAATTACTCTATGAACAAGAAACCGTCCATTATTCCAGTCCATTATTAATTCCTACAGCCCCTTAACTGAAAGTCCATGCTTCCATATGGAACTGGGGCTGCAGGAACTTGTGCATTGAACTGATCACAGGCTTTAATTCAACAAATGAATAAAGATGGAATATGTCTTTAAAATGAATGTTTTTGTGCCTCAACCTTTAAAGCAGACCCCGCTACAATAACTTTTTTGCTCCCCGTGTTTCCCCCATCACTCTTCCACAATTGGTGAAGTTCTTTTAATTTTTTTAAAGGTTTATCACCTTTTTTGTGCTGCAGCCCAGCATGCCCTCCTTCCTTGCCTAGGCAAGGATGACATAGGGACCCCCACTGCCACCTGGGATGTCCAGATCACACATTGCAGGTGGCACTTCTCTAGAACAGATACATATTCTCTCCCATTAGCTTTAACAGAATCCTTTGAACTATATTACACATTCTCTTCTGGATCAGTAGCATTGGAAGCAATTGTTCCTGTAGTGCAGCATCTTTGCAACACAGCAGCAGAGTGACAGATGAGATGGATGAGGGGGAGGGCTCAGCATTGCACATTGTACCCAGCCTGCAGGAACACAATTTACTGTCATATGATAACAACCCCCAGCATCCAGCCAATGGGAGATTGCAACCACAGAAACCACACCGAACCTGCAGCCTGTGCATCCTCCATAGACACACACTGGAGAGCCTAGACTGTACCATCCTCCCTGCACAGAGGGGGGAGAAGATTGGATCATAAAGTCTGCTGAGCATCAATGCATGCAGGATTTCCCTGGAGGACAAGGTAAGGCAATCACAATGACAGCTGGCATTGCTCTAGCAGGAGCCCCTTATCTGCACCGTGCCGGGTCCCGGCTGGCATCCCAGTTAATGATTGATTGCAGCCAGTGGGGGGGCCTTGGGCTCCTGCACCCCATCTCCTCTATAGGTGGGGAGGCAATAGAGAAGGGGTCCAGCATTGGTCTCTTCTATTCTGGATGCCAAGTAGCATCTTTTAACCCTTGAAAGGATGTCTGGCTCTGTCCATGGTGCTGAAAGCAGGCTGGCAGAACGTAATGCAAACCTGATCTCTGTGTATTACACTACAGATGACAGACACTTGTTCAATTGTCCTGTAATGTGACCACAGCACAACCTGAAACTACTGTCTTTGTACACTTGTTTGTGTTTGTCAGTTGTCTACTTTATCAAATAATTATTCCACCCAAAGGTTTATCTAGCCATATAGCCAAATGTGTTCCTATTAACCTCCTTTCCCATCTTTGCGCAAAACCACGCGTTGGCACATCGTCCCAAAACATGTGCCGCTTTGTGGGACGTGCTGCAGTTCCATTGATTGTTAACAGTTTCCCAACGCACCTTGTTTCACTATGTGCTTAAAATCGCACCAAAATGCACGGTATCAAAGTACCATGCGTTTAAGTGCAGCGTGTTTTAAAATATATTATAATTAAGGATGCACCGATACTAGTATTTGGGAGAGTACTGGTACTCTGATGCCCCCGATACCGGAACTTCCGCTCAGAGGGAGATTTCCTCTGACCGGCACTGCAGCGAGGGAACATGGAGCTGGCTTCCTGGCACTCAGGAAGCCGGGCGGCAGGTAATGAATTGCCGCTTAGCTTCTTGATTGGCCAGGAAGCCGGCTTCCCGGTCAATCAGCATGGAGACGACGAAACAGCATAGAGCCAGCTTCCCGGGCAATCGAGAAGCCGGGTGGCAAGTAATGACATGATTAGCTGGGAAGCCCTCTCCATGCTAGTGGAAATACTGGCATCAGTACTTTGTATCAGCGAGTACCGGAAGATAAATATCGGTACTCGTATTCGATACCGAAAAACTGGTATTGGTGCATCCCTAATTATTATTATAGTTATTATTATAATTATTGTTATACAGGTTTTATATAGTGCAAACAGTTTGCACAGCGCTTTACAAGATGGAGGGAGATAGTACGGTTACAATACAAAAGGGCCCTGCTCATGAGAGCTTACAATCTAGTAAAGGACTAGGGAACGCTTTGCTGAGATTGTCGTGCCTTATTAAATGACCAATATCTTCTTTTCCCCAAGAAAGCTTAGAAGAGATTCTCATTGGTTCTCATTGCTGTCATGTGACCATGCTGACCAATCTCCACTGGCCGTTGCAAGTATTATGATGCTATACAACCTCTGGGAATGTGTAGTGGAGTTTTAAAGTGTGCGGCTCATTACACAGGCTGGCATGGGTGGCAAGGGATGGTATTCACAGCTAACTTCAATAGGGTCCAGGGGGAGTGCAGAGGGTATTGTGAGTAAGATCACGTTTTCATTTTTTGTGAAAAAGGTAACCTTACCCTTCAATACATCAATGAGCATGTATTATTTATTAATTAAAGATTTCAATGTAATGAAATATTAATACATGAGGAAGAGGCACTTTCTTTCTTCTTTTTTTTTCGCACAACAATGAGCACATAAAATGTGAAGGTCACTGGAAATACACTATCATTTCCATTTAATGTGTTACTCTAAACACATTGGTAACATTTAGATCACCAAATTCATTTTATAAGTGTTCCATAACCACAATAAGAGCTACTCAATGGGAAACCTGGTTGGGTAAACAGGACCTGTACAGTGGAAGCTGTGCACACAAAAGGCAGGCAGAGGGCAAAGGAGTAGTCATGGTTGAACATGGAAGGAGCTCCTTTGAACATGGAAGGGGATCCTCCGAACACAGAAGGAGCTCTTCCAAACATGGAGAGAAGCTCCTTCCGCTGCCACTCTGCCCACTGCTGCACATAAGCTAAGGGACAGGATTCAGTGACGTCACTGACATTATAGGGCCACTTTGCTAAATTGGGTCACTGACATTGACCTAACATCACCAGGTGGCCATATAAGGTCAATAACGTCAGCACACGCATCTAGACCCTTTGTTTAGGTGCACCTATGGGGTGGGGAATGCCCCGGCCTAAAGCTGATTGGGCGGGTGGATCCATGTAGGTTCCAGGTTCAGAGGAGTTCAGGTTTAGACCAGGCTCTATACGAAACTGAGCTCATCCCTAGTGGTCATCAGTATTGCCTGTAGGCTCACAGCAGCTGATCATGTCTCCATTACTGACTTACCATGCCTTGTTTCACACTGTGCCTCTATGTAGAGGTAGCTGTCTTGTTAACAGAGCATAGTATTGCTTTTTCATGACAGAGATGACTCCTTTGAGACTGGTGATCTGATGACTGGTGGGCTTATGATTCAGAACTTAGTAGCAGGAAAAACAAGAGATACACAGAAAGAATGTAGCAGAAGCAGGGAAATACTTACACTGCAAGTCCCCAGATATAGATTTTACTCCAGCAAGAAGAACAGTGAGCAGCACAATAGTGACATCATTAAATCTCACTTCAGATCTATTGAGATTAACAGTCAGAGGCAGCAGTGCTATTTTTTCCATATGAATTCAAGTTATAGGGTATATTTTTCAATACACTGCTTTAGCACAATTAATATGTCTAAATGCAAATCTTTACTTTTTGAGTGCAGGTCCATATAGCGGATAACTGCATCCCTTCCTGTATGATAAAAGTAATATTAGGGTTTCATTACTTATTTAGGGCCCATTCACACTATGGCATTGCGGCAATGTGTGGCAAAGCATGTTACATGCATTGGTGAGATGCGGTGCCATTATTTCTGAATGGCACCCCAACACACCTTGCTGACAGACATACAATGCATGGCAAGGCACTAATGGAAGCACCATTTTTGGCGCATTTTGCAAGGCTTAACATGCAACAATGCATGTGCGTTAAACACCACAATGGTGTGAATGGGCGCTCAAAGTTACTTGGCATGCTGCCTTCTAAATTCTGCAATTAAGTTCAACCACTGGACCCACTATCTTATTTTGTTCCTAGCATGTATTTCCTGCTAAAGCTTCCAGTATATTTTAAAAGTTTCTGTATCTGACCCAACAGTAAATAGGGTCAATAAATTAAGACGGGACTATGACCGCAGTCACCTGTCACCTGACACAAGGTATTATAACAAGTAATCAAGGCATTACATAAACTGTGTGATTTTTCTGACTTTAGCATAGTTGTAATATCTCCCGAATAGCAATAGAAGTTGACTGATTGACTTTAATTTTTCTTTGCAAATGCTCTTTTACTGGTTATGGAACACTTAAATTGCCTCTTTTATTCTAATTTTTTTATCCTAGGGTCTCATTATTCCCAATATCAAAGAGTCATTGTTCCCAATATCATCTATGCGTTATATATTTTTTTGTGAAATTGATGAGAACTCTGCAGTTAGTAATCCAATCATTTCCATTTTCACAGATAAAGTCCCATTTCTAAAAAAGACCTATTTCACCTTCTAAGCATGCTTGCCCGGAAAGGCTTAATCCATGAAGAATACTTGATAACTAGACTTGCAGAAGATAAGGATGCCAACCCTCAGTACAAAGCCAAGACCAGAAAAGCCCGCTTTGTGACTAAGAATGGCGCTTGTAATGTGGCTCATAAGAATATTCGTGAACAGGGACGTTTCCTCCAGGATATCTTCACCACTATGGTGGACCTCAGGTGGCAACATAGCTTGCTCATCTTCACTATGACATTTATATGCAGCTGGATGCTGTTTGCTATGGCGTGGTGGCTTATTGCCTTTGCTCATGGAGATCTTGATCCCAAACGCAGCAATTCCATACCGTGTGTCACTAACATTCAGTCTTTTACTTCAGCCTTTCTTTTCTCCATTGAGGTCCAGGTGACCATTGGCTTTGGGGGACGCATGGTTACGGAACAATGCCCCTTGGCTATAACGATTCTCATCATTCAGAACATATCCGGCTTGATCATCAATGCTGTCATGCTGGGGTGTATTTTTATGAAGACAGCTCAGGCTAACCGTAGGGCTGAGACTTTAATATTTAGCAAACATGCTGTTATAGCCTGTCGTGATGGTAAGTACCGTTTCATGTTCAGAATAGGTGACCTACGCAAGAGTATGATCATCAGTGCTTCAATCAAGATCCAGGTGGTCAAGAAGACCACAACCAATGAAGGTGAGGTCATCCCAATCTCTCAAGTAGACATTCAAGTAGAAAACCCTGTTGGAACAAATTCTATTTTCTTAGTCTCACCACTTATAATAAGTCACACAATTGATGAAAAGAGTCCTCTATATACCTTCTCAGCTTATGACCTTTGCCTCCAGGATCTAGAAGTGGTGGCCCTACTGGAAGGAGTAGTAGAGACAACAGGTATAACTACCCAAGCCAGAACGTCTTACTTGCCTGAAGAAATTCTTTGGGGTCATCGTTTTGTCCCCATTGTTGCAGAAGAAGAAGGCAGGTACTCTGTTGACTACTCTAAATTTGGAAACACAGTTAAAGTGCGCGGACCCCTATGCAGTGCCAAAGACTTGATGGAAGGCAAATACCACCCACTTTCTGGGGGTGGCCACACTTCTAGAATGTTGAAGAAAAGAAAAGTAGACAATCATGAACCTTCTATTTCTAAAAAGAAAACGTCTAGAGAAAACTCACCCCATGATTCTTTATCTGATTCCTAATGTCTGTATTTTTTTACAGTAGAGAAATGACATTTTTCTCATTATTTGAAATATCCCATGTGACTTACAAGGAGCTGAAACAGCTTTTTTTTTGTGCTCTGCATCAAAATTCATAAGATAGCACATTGGTATAGTAATGTCTTTGACAAGGACTAATGCCAAAGAATAGCTGATGTATTGTACATGTAACAAAATGGTATCTTCTTTGTACATATTGGGTCTCCTGTTTGTAATTGAATGAATGGAATGGATTATGATCGGAATGTGTCTTTGTTGGACATAGCAATGAGATTGTTAATGTTGACCAGGCAAATGTAAAAGCATCATTTATTGCAGTTATATAATCCTTAATAATAATAATAATAATAATTAAATATGCATTTACATACGACTAGCATGAGTACCTTTTTCTGCCTTGATATCAGGCTTCTGCCATCTCATGTACAGCAGTATTCAGACTGTAAGAAGGAGAGACAGTCCATCACCATCAGCATGCTGTGATCAGTCAGATGACACCATTGTATTTCTAAAAGATTAGAGGCAAGTTGAGTCATCCCCTAGCTGTGGTCTCTGGCAGAAGTGTATGCATCACAAAGAGGCTTGTCGGGATTACAAATCCTTTGCAGATAAGTTCACAATTTACATACGTGTATTTCAAGTAAAAACAAAACCAGAAGGGGAGATCCTTCCAAAACCGTCTCTGTAGATTTGCCAAAAATATGGGTTTAGAGATCTCACCACTTGAAACCCCTAAAGAGTCAAGTAAATAGAAGATTATAACTTCTCTAGCATCCCTTTAAAAGACTTGCATTCCATCATAACAGGCAACTTTTTTTTTAGGGAACCTGTGTCAAGTCAAGCCCTATGTAAGTGCCCCATGGTGGAACCTAGTGCACACTTCCTGATATTTATGAACTTTGCACTCACGTTAAAGCTGTTCTCCAGACATGATTGTCCCCCCACCCGTTCTAATTAATCTCTATGTTATTTTTTTTTAAATGGATGGACACCATTCTTTTATAAGCATTTTTTTGTTCCTACAACATTGATAGAAGGTCATTTTTAGGGAGTAGGGTGGACACTTCCCATTAGCTGTCCAATTGTGGGGTCCTCTCAGGCTTCAGAACTGCAGCGGCCTGATGATTTCACAACAAAGTGACTAGTTGGTGCTGGCATAGACTTCAGTGCTTGATCACGATTCCACTCCTGGAAAAGGAAGGCATGCCACTGTTTGGTTAGTTAAATAAAAGCTGTTTTTACATTTTTTTAAAATATTTTGTGCGTTAAACCAGAGGTAGCCAGGGAGCTAGTATTTTAAGAAAGAGGTCAACAATATACTTTTTGGTGAATTAAACCTACAGTATATTGAACGGCTAATTCATTTGTAAAGTAAATTCATACACATAGATATATTTTATAAGTTATTTATATTTAATGATATCTCTTTTAAATAAAAAAAGAATCTACATGAGATATCTACACAACTGTTAATATAAAACATAAATAAATACTACACAAAAATAATGAATAGATAAATATTAATGTTATTTAATTAATAAATATATAATTTCTTATAAGACAAAAAACTATAGAACACATAGAATTGCTAAACAAGACTTTTTAAAATTTTGTGTCAATTAAAAATTTACTTTTGAGTTTTCTACAGCCAACTAACATTTTTTAAGACTATCAGAAATATTCAAACATGACTTCCTTGTATGAGGCAAATCAGTACACTTTTAGAGTATAGAACCCTAGAAATGTAATTTCCTTACCTTTAAAACAAAGGTCACTTATCCTTTTTTGCCCCTTATCCAACCTAACCCACCCTCATACTTACCTCAGACCTTGGTTCTGCTGTTTGTTTACATCCAATGTCCTGGACGCACCTGCATATTAGTGCCCCATAGACTGCTATGAGGCTGGAGACAATCGGAAACGGTCCCCTAGAAGTCCATAGAACTGTAGTGCAGCCAGGATAGTGAATACTTGCGGTGCTGGATGTAAACAAACAGAGGAACAGTGGCTTTCAGATTGAGGTTAAGTATGTGCTTGTGGAGGAGGATGTTGGGTTAGGTCAGGGGAAGGGGGCAAAAGGGTAAGAGTTTTAAAGTGCACTTATCCTTTAAATAACACTTAATACAAATTGTCATGATACATTCCCTTTAAATAAAATGGATTTCTTCTTTTATACTTCCAGACCAGTCTTTAGAAAGACCTGTTTTATAGTCACTGTTATGTATTTACAGAGCTTTATCTGGTATTTGTCTTTACTGACATTTTGTCCTCAATTATGTAACCTAAGTGTTTTATTGTTTCCATGTAATTTTGTACAATAACGTTTGACCATTTAAACATCAGGTTCAAAGTCCCAGGCTATCTGTAACTACCTCATGTGTGCTGCCAGATTGCATGACTTCTTTGTGTGCTTCGCTCAGGCTGGGCGTGTGACGGATGTTTAAAAACACAGCATTAAGTTACAAACTATGTGGACACGTTTCCACCACCTAAATAAAGTTTCCATTGTGAGAACAAAATATTATGTCTAGTGGGCTTATTTGATCCCTTTTTTGTTTGGTCTGAGATTTCCCGTTGGACTATGCTGGGAGACTAGATGTGATGGATGTCTTTGGGTAACCTTGAGCACCCAAGTACTGTATATTAGGGGCCTGTTCACATTTCTCTGGGCTGTTGTGGCACACTAATGCAAACGCCTTAAAGTGACACTAAACTCAGTATGCTAAGCCCACTACACAGATAGTGATGGGTTTAGTGGTGAGTGGAAAGAGCCTTCGTCTGTGTCCCCAATAGGGAAATAAGGGAAAGTGAGTACTATCATGGGACTAAAAGCCAGGGAAAATTCAAAATTATTTGTTACTGGAACAGGAATAGAATGGAAATCTTCTAATGGGGACACTTGTTCTGGGAACCCTTTTACCCTTTTGCATCTCTGGGGCAGCACGTTATTATTCTGAGTTGCCCAACTCAAGCGGCGGCCATATTGAGTGGGGCACGTGAGATTAATAACGTGCTGGATTAGTGTGATCCTAGTTCATTTTATTACTTCATTGCTGTGCTGTATGTGTATAGGCCAATGTAGTTGAATCTGTATGTGCATTATAATTAATCGAAATTAATCGATTAAAAAAAAATTAGATTAATCATACACGAAAATTTTAATCAGTAACAGCCCTAATATATATATAGATATCTATATCTATATATAGATATAGATATCTATATCTAGATATAGATATAGATATCTATATATATCATACAGTCACTCCATATACCACACATACCAAATACACTGCATATATCATGTGAGGAAAATATGCTAATAAAAAATACAATTTGCCAACAAAACAAATGTCCCCGGATTTCATTTAAAAAAACTGGTCACCTTACACTAGGTGCACATGTAGCAAGGTGACAATACAGGAGCATAATTGGATAACAAAGACAGAGTGTTGTCACCCTATACCAGGATGTGCCTGAACAACAGAACTTCCATGACAGGATCACCAGGTATTATTGTAATGAAAACTGAATATATTAAAACACTGAAAATTACTTTTCAAATTAAGTTTAGATGTTAAAGCTTACATTAAATCTTAGTGGTTGGGTTTATATCTGCTTTAACATTAGAAGGTACACTCTAGCAACTGTTAAAGACTAACCCAGGAAATGCACAGCCTTCCTTCTAAGCAGTTCTGATTTGTATCCTGACATTGCTCAACTGCATCAGTCTACCCCACTTCCTTTTTTCTTTATTTTGGTAATCCTAAAACACACCTGCTAGTGATGCTGGGAAACACTCTTTGATGTCTTACAATGCAAGGACAAAGACACTTGTCACATTTACCAATCAGATTCAAACCTGCCTTGGAAGTTTAAATATGATTGGTGATGCAAAAAGGAGAAAGAGAATAGATTACACAGCACAGGCATCAGTAAGTAGACTCCTACCATCCCTTTATGTTGCTGTGTATTCTTATCCTTCAAAGGACTACACATAATTAAGAGTAGAGTTGATTGATAAACATTCTGTATTTAGTACAGGTATGAGAAAGACTAGTATGTGCTAATCCCCATAGCTACCTATGTTTGTGAAATTTGGGCCATGAAAAAATTAGACAGGAGAAATATCGACATGTTTGAGCTATGGTGCTGAACAGGGGTATCCCTACACTATTTGCCGCCTGAGGCGGGGGGGATTGGAGGATGTGCTGCCAATGCACATTCCGGGAATGGGGGCGGTATGTGCTAATCGTGCGCCCCACCCAGCACACTGACGTCACTGGTTGCCATGAGCTGGGCAGGATGCTATTCAGAGTGTCCCGCTCTGCTCCTGGTAACCAGTGACGTAACTGGTTGCCATGAGCTGGCGGGACACCCGGTCAGGGCCTCACTGGTTACTAAGAACTCTTAGCAACCTTAGCATCTCTAAGAACTCTTAGCAACCTTAGCATCTCTAAGAACTCTTAGCAACCTGGGACGCTCTATCTGGAAAGGGGCGGCAGGCACACCTGCCAGCCCCCCATGTGACCCAATGAGATGCTACCTGAAGCAAACACCTCAGTCTGCCTCATTATAGGCAAAACAAATGGCAAATGCACTCATCAACTCGTTACCAGCTTTACAGCAAGGTGCACAAGGAAAACAGTAAAACAGCACATGGGGCAAAAGATTAAATTGGGTGCAGGTTTGTCAGGAGGAAGCCCAACCTCCCTTAAAGGCACAGGTACGCACAAGGGACCGCGCACATCACAAAGGCAGCTGAGACCCCCCATGCGTCACTGCACCAAATCAGTCAAGCAAAACAAATGGCAAACGCACTCATCATTTCGTTACCAGATTTACAGCAAGGTGCACACGGAAGGGCTTCAAACAGTAAAAAAGCAAAAAGTTTCCAGGCACACTCACCAGCCAGCCCCCATGCGTCACTGCAGGTTAGACAGGTTTTTTTGCATGCTGGCTGGTGAGTGTGCCTGGAAACT